ATGTATACAGCTTATAATTATACGCGAAAACTATAAAAATATATAGAATAAAATAAATAAAAACAGATTTTTTTTTACTACTTATTAAAATAAACTTTTTTTTACATGAACACTAACTTTTAGGATGCTTCTTTATTCGAAATGGGGCCCTACTTGATCTTGTCCATTGTTCTAAATGATTATTGCCAAAATTTACTTAGTTATTATCTTATAAAACCAGAAAAATTACAAGTAATTTGGGCATTGGTAAGTCACAATATTAAGGTAATAGGAAATAATGAATGATATTCATTCAAAAAATGGCTAATGTTTAATGTTAAATGGCTACTTTTTCGGCTCTGTTATGTTTAACAGAGGGAAAGTATGGCAATCGGTCAAAAATGACCACTCCAAGATTTTTACATTTTTGAATTCAAGAAAACTTAAAAAGCCTAAAAATGCAAAAAAAAAAAAAAATTCGGGGTTTTTTCCCTGTATGTATCGATGTTAGTATGTGGGAGGCACGATTTTGTTCACTCTCTTTGAAGCTTAATAACTCCTGTGCTTTTTGTCGAAAATTTCTGAAATTTTGCAGGGAGGTTTGTATATTAGGGAGATTGATGCTATTAATTTTGGCCACCGAAATTTTAAATGTTACTGGGAAAGTTAAGCAACTCTGCTAATTTATTTTTTTTTTCGAAAGCTAACACTATTACATTTATCTTATTACATTAATAATAAAACTGCAACAGTTTCAATATTTTTCAAATAAATTTTTATTATGTTCCTCCTTTTTTTTCTGTTACAAACACAAAAATCTTATATATCTTCAGTAAAGAGTATATTATATTTCTTTCCGCCATTTTTCTATTGTATGACGTCCAAAATCGTCCAAAATCACCGTTACAGTTTGACAGAAAGATAGAATAAATCGGTAAAGTTGAACATTGCTCAGCTTATTTTTTGTTCTCTTTATGCTCAACTTGGCAGAAAATTCTTTCTGTTATTCTTGCTTTCCATTCTGCTTTTTTGCACAGAATATTTCTTGTTGCATTCTCATAAGTTAGCTTAAATCCAATATAAATGCTCTTAACATTAAAATATTTATAAGTGTCTTTTTTAAAGATATAATTTATCCATTAAAAACATTCCTATTCGTAGATATTCCTTACACATTTAACCTTATTTTAATTCATATAGGAAACAAATATTAATAATATTAATGTCATAAAGTTTAAAAAATAAATAACTAGCAAAAATTTGCGACTTTCTTATCCCAATGTTAGAACAATGTTTCTAATCTTCAACATTGTTCTTTCTTATTGTTATGAAGAATGTGTAAAATTATGTTTATGACCATAAAACATTATTAATTCCTTTATTTTTAATGTCTTTTTTTTTTTAATAGCTTCCTGTTAATTACGAAAAATCTGTAAATTATAGGAAGCTGTAACGAAGACATTGATGAAGATTTCCTATACAATATAGAAAAATATAAAATTTAATTAAAATTCTCCGTTTATATCCAAAATTTTATAATAAAGATTTTAACATTTTTTTTTTTATAGATTTGAATTTTATAATTGTACAGAAGTGTTACTTTCTTTCTATTTAAAAAACACGTGGCTTTCGGTCTATATCCGAAGTTGGTATGTAGTTAACGAAGGACAGACGGACAGACATACGACAGTGGGAATGTATAGAACTACAATCTGAAAATTTCAGCTTAATAAATTCAATAGATTTTTAGGTCACGTTATTGTCCTTTAAACTTGAATTATCTTTAAATTGTTGATCATTCTGTCTATGTATTTTGCCTGTTTTACTCGTGACTCGTGTATAATGCTCAATTTAAATATTGATATTTAATTACTGCTTCAGAAAATTATTAAATATTTATCATTCCAACGTTAAAAATTACGAAACAAAAATACTTTTTATTCATCAAACTCCAGAAAAAAAAAAAACATTTTGAACTAAAANTTTAATGGTATATACAGTATTTTCTTTTTAAATAATTTATTTAACTTATTTTTTAAACAGTTCTATAGGATGGAGACTAGGACTTCAAGCTGTGACGGGCCTAGTATTCGTCACATTCATACTTGGAATCTTTTATCGACCAGCATCACTGTATCATCCTCAAAGAAGAGCGATCCTTCACTTAAAAGGATTACAAAAACGCTCTAAGGCAAAAGATAAAAGTTCAAATAAAGAAAGACCACCATTCTTTGATTTTGGAGTGCTCAAGTCCAGAACTATTCAAATTTTGATGTGTGGAACTTGTTTCGCTGCCTTTGGTATTAATGTACCTATATTCCTGTTAGTAAGTACTTTGATTTTTCTATTAAACTACAATATTTCAAATTTATTTATTCTATTAAAAATATATTCCCGTTTCTATCGACGTTCAGTTGATGATGAAGACTCAAAAACAATTTTTCAAACAAGTTGCACGCAACTATATTTTTTCGAATATAAAACTAAATTTATGTATATATATATAATATTCTATTCTTTCTCTAAAGTACCTTTTACGAACAAAAAAAAATAGAATCTTGATGGAGAAAATAAAGGAGAGACCTACTATTTTGGATAGTTAAAACCACTGTCTGTAAAAGTCTTCCACAATCAGATGTGCGGAAAACAATAAACATTTTTATGACTTTTTCTTCTAGTAAGGGTCGTTAAAACTCATCCGAATTTGACGTCACGGAACCAGAGGATTAAAGATCTACTTCCATAATCGGAAATGTTAAAATTTTCAAACAAGTTTCGTCAGTTTTTGTGAAAGATCTTCCATGCAAATTCCTAGTCGTAAAATTCTCTTTGATATATTTAGATAGGAATATATGTATATATACACGTATATATCAGCAATATAAATGATCTTATGAGACGAATTGTATAATTATTATTTAATTAATTTACTTACAGATCTATCAAGGAGAAAGAGAAGGCATCGATAATCAATCTCTTCTCGTTCTTCAAGCGTTTATTGGACTCGCTGTTATACTGGGAAGTGCCTCTTTTGGGTTCGTTGTTGTTAAAAACAGTGTACAATGTATGATAGCTAGACAATATTTATGCCAAGCTGCTTCTTTTATGGTTGGAGTCTCGTTATTGGCATTCACGGCATTGGAAGAATATAACGGTTATGTTTTATTTGTATGGATATATGGGCTCTTCTATGGAGGATATCATTACTCGCTAAAGATGTTCACTTTCGAAAAAGTTCGAGCTAGAAATTTTGCAAGAGCATGGGGATTCGTGCAATGGTGTCAAGCATTGCCCAATGTAATTGGTATTCCTTTGACAGGTACAATCTATTTGCAGTTATTTAATTTTTTTTATTTCTATTTAATTAATTTTATATATATATATCTCTATCTCTTACCAGGATACTTGAATGAAAAATATGGCTACAAAACTGGTTATTATTTATCATCTGCTCTGACACTTTTAGGTAGCATCACTTTGTTTCTTATCGACGTACATAAATGGAAAGTTCAACAGAGAAAAATGAGTATCTTTACAGATAATGATAGAAGATGCTCAGATTCATGTTATAGCCATCCTCAAAGTCGAAGATCATCGTATCAAGATTCAATGAATGGAAGCAATGCCCAATTAAAACGATTTAATCAAAGAAGTTTTACTTTCAGTAATTATGGCGACATCAAAAAACCAGAACTGACATGTATATCTGAAGAAGTAGTAATGGATAACATCCTGGATGAACTCGATTGCATTACTTCATGCAATAAGGAAGAGAAATTTTTAATGTTGAGTGAATATGAAAATAATTTGAATAAGACTCAAGAAGCCCTCGAAAGACGTACAAAACCCATGAAAAAAGTCAGTGTAATAACTCCATTCGAGCAATGCCCAAACTGCCAACGTCAAATTGCCAATCAAGAAGAATGCAAAGATACAGTTTTGGTAAGTTCAGTAAGAAGAGGTCCAAGAGCAGTTTGCAGCGTAGATGTTATTGAGGAAGTCACTACTTCACTTTAGCCATGTTATAAGTATCTCTTCAAAAGATGAAAATTCTTTATTTTTTTCAATTCACCATCTAAAAAAACAAAAAGAAAAATGCCATCTAAAGAAAATATTACGTCTTCCACGACGTTTTTGATTTAATAATCAAAAGTCTTCCTTAGTTTTGAAGACTTCAAATCTAGTCCAAGAACTTATATATGTGTGTATATATATATAAGACTTTTGTTACTGTATAGATTTATTAGGTATTTACATTTTTAGTCTATGGATTCTGTTATTATTGTGCATACGTTACGTATAAATATGCTTAACTTTGTAGAAAAATTCCAGCCACGAGTTGGTTCAGACTGTGATGTCTTATTCAATGGACTCGAAGAATGTAAAATAGTCCATATGATTCATGTTCTATGTATTTTACTGTAGAAAATTGCTGCAGCCATATAGGGCAATACATTTCAGGGTAATGTATTTTTTAGTGTAAGAAAGCCAAAGATGTAGAAGATTGGATTCGAATCATCTTGTATAAGTCTACACTTTGTATAGTTCGTTATAAAACACTAAAAAAAACAAGAAAAAAATCATTGTTTAATTTATTGTTAAAATGTTTCTCAGAGCTTTTATAGGCCTGATGTTGATTATATAAGCTGAATTATATATATATATATATATATATAAACTGTTTTTCTGTCATTTGTTGATTGAAAGAAACGTAGGAGTACTAAAAGTAATGTTGGAAAGTTGAAAAAAAAAATTGATTTTTTTAAAAAAAAGCCGAATTAATTATTTTAAAATCAGTTATAATTTTAAAATTTTAAGGGTTTAAACTCCCTAATTGTTAAATCAGTTAGAAAGTTATGGAAAAAATTTGAAAGTGGCAAAATATATTGATGAATTGTTGATGAATTGTTATTGATGAATTGTTGATGTTTAACTAATACGAGAGAAAATCAAAAAAATTAAGCAATTTTTTTAGAAAAAAAAAAAGAAGTTATAAACTGTTAAAATATTTAAATAAAAATTCTACGATATTGTTAGGATTTTAGTATAAATAAATGTAGAATTTAAATCAAAATGCTGTTTGTTATCTTGTTATTTATCTGATATTTTGTCACTTTCTAAATATTTAAGAAAATATATTTCTATCTTTGCTACATGCGAAATTTTTACTAGAGTATATTATATACATATATATATGTTAAAAAAATATATATATATATATGAGCCTTTTAGTTCTCCATTTCACCGACAGGTGGCGTTAGCAGGCAACGAATGGCCGTCCATTGAGTCAAAGCTAAGTGATTTGTACAAGTATTGTTCACTATTTTCTTTGATGTAGAATAACATTTCTGAAATAAAAAGTTGATCTTGCTATTGTTAATTGTTTTTATTACTTATATAAAAAGTTCTTCGTATATTTTCTAGATATAATTTGTCTCCAGAATTTCCTCTGTAGACAAATTACAAATGTTAAAATGGGTTTAGAAACATCATTATAACCGCTTCGATTAAATAAATAACTTATTTAAATATATATAATTTAACATAACTAATTATTCAGTATTTTAAAAAGTAATTAATTTTAATCATTTTTAAGAACATATTTAATACTTAATGAATCTCATTAACTATAATTTAAAGTTATTATGCATAATAAAAGGAAATTATATGAAATTTCTGCAATTTTATTATCCTCTACATAATTTATTAATTAATAAAAAAAAAAGTGTAAAAAATATTTAGCATGCTACAACTTTATANTTCTTCATTACCTTTATATAACGCTGTTATCGAGCAAGTTCATAAGTTTTGCCATTTAATAAAATTACACATTTATTTGTTAATTAATTATTATTATTATTATCAGCGTATACAACACTGTTATTTATAAACACTTTAATTACTAACTCACAACGTTATCTCTTGAAGTTATTATGCATCACACGTTTGAGTGAAGTTCCCAAATTATGGATGCGGCTTACTTGAGACAGAAGCTAAATTTTATAGAATATGTTAGCTTAAAAATCGTCACAAATAATTTAATTTTTATCAGTTAATTCGATCAAATTTATAAAATAATTATTTTTACTTTCTCTAGTGTTATGTATTAATACATAACACGAGAAAGTATTGTAGTGGCGTTAAATTTGACCCTTCGGGTTCTTCGAAAATCTCGACGTTTTGACATCTCTGAACCAAAACAATAAAAAACAAAAACAGGAAAAAATTCCGCGGAGGTGTATATATATATAGGCCTATGTGTATTTGTGTTAGTGTATGTGTGTTGGGGGTCATTTCGTTTAATATCTCAGGATTGGTGCAGAGATTAACAAACTAAATTTGGCATTGTATCTTGTATATAAGGAGCATTGAATACTAATAAATTTCTGTGGTTAAAGTCGAGGGGATGAGAAGATAAAGATTGGTCTGGAGTGGAGTGAGACGTAATGGAAATTTTACTCGTTATTGGCATTTACATTAAAAAAAGAAAAAGAAAAAAGAAAAAACTTTACTCTCAAAATTAAGCTTTTTTTCTATTTTATAATAATTAATAATATAAAAATTATTTTTTAATAAAACCACATAACAGATGGCACCCACATAATTTTAACTTTGTGTTGCTAATGTGTCTTAGTGTTTGTCAAACATAAATATTTTTCGGTGTAACTCTTTGTTAAATCTTTTTATTATTTTATTATTATAGAAGAGCGTCATCTATTCTAGAAAAATGTTCAAGAGATTATTAATTGTTTAGAGTTAAAATTACTCGTTAACTGTTGTTGTGATTTTTCTTATTTTTCTACTCTTTTTGGTTTATAAAGTTAATGAAACCTTATTCAAAATTGTTCTTTCGTTACATAATAATGTTACATAATAACTGTTCTATAATTTATGAGAAAATTAAAAATTTTTCTTTGGATATAAAATTTCCGAAATAAGATATCGGAGGGGGGAAATGTTTATTAATTAAAAATATACATTTTAAATTAATTTTTAAATATTTTACTAAAAAAATAAAATATATTAATAAAAATAATATAGATATATTTTTAATCATTATAAAAACAATAAAAATTGGTTATAAATTTATAGATTTAAAGTATAGGCTGGTTCTATTAGTAATTGTATTCATAATAAATAACTTTCGGTATTCTTTCTGTTTGAATAAAAATTGACAATCGATAAATCATCGTCTGATTCTTCAGCAATAACAATTTCATCCATATCCTCATCATTAAATACAAGTTGACCCCCTTATAACACTGTTGATTTTTCCGTTTTATATGAATTCCATGTTGTACGAGTCACTTAGATTTTACAAATACGTGATCCGTTCACAGCCCGGCACACGTATTTGTAAAATCTAAGTGACTCGTACAACATGGAATTCATATAAAACGGAATAATCAACAGTGTTATAGGGGGG